CACAGCTTAAAGTCGCCAAGGTTGAGAAATGCTGCTCTAGAATAAGTCCAAGTGATATAGTAGGGCTCGTTCTCCATTAAAAATTGGTAATCTAACTGGGAAGTCTGATTAAGGCCGCAGAGTCAGAGAAGGGAAGATACTTGCAAATCTACACTTCCGACTCTTTTAAGATATGATCTGCTGTTTTTAAAAGGACGGCATGTTTTCAGCTGTTGCTGCCTTTACGTCTTGGTTTTGTATTTAGCTTGTAGTGGGGTCGTTTCTAGGTTGTTTTCTGACCATACCGTGGTGGTTTCCTGAAGGCTGCTCTGTGCAGGATGATGATAATGATGACGACGATAAAAACACTTACTAAACGTTCGAATGCTTGTGTTTCTTGATAGTGCATTTCCTGCGGACCTAGAAACAGAGGCCACTGTTTCGGACCCAACATTTGTTGTGGAGAAGAGCTGGGCTGCTATTTCGGCACGGCGGAAACCCTGCGGTGCCAAGAAGAAAATTTTCTCCCCACCCCTTGCGAGTCTGGAAAGAAGCCGTGTGGCAGCAACGGAGGGACATGCGCTGCATCTGGCATCTGCTGCAACCACGGTGAGCGTGTGCTAACCCTCTTCCTGAAAAAAAGATAATGGTGACCACACTGCTTCTAGGCTGTCGATGGTGACTCCTGGAAAGTTCACAAAACTCAGAACTGCATCGCAGTCTGGTTGTGGTGGATTACAACGCCCATCAACTCTTGGGGGTACTGGTTGAGGGATGAGGGGAGTTGGTTCCAACCATTTGGATGGCATCAGCTTGGGGAAGACAGACCGCATTTATCAAGCTTCACACACACATGGCTGTAAATCTCAGCTCTCTACAGCCTTATTCAGGCTTGGTGTTCTTGGCAAAAAGCTCATTAACATGTCTTGGCAAGCTTAATTTCTTCATTGCAGAAATTAATTAATGAAGCCCCACCCCCACCCCAAGAAGATTTATCCATTGCAATATTCAGGAAGCAAAACTCTTTTATAGGTCCTTGTTCCAAGGTTTAAATCCTAAGCTTTTTCCTCCTGCCTTTCTGAGTCAACAGATACTTGGCTGTTTGTTTGTTTTTTCCAATTGGCATCCAATCTGTGCTTAAATACCAGTTTCCCCTTGTCTAGGAATTGCTGATTTCTGCCTTAACCAGGTAATTCCTTACAACATATCCTTCCTTATTTTCTTCATCACTTCTCCTCTAGGTCTGGAAGTGTTAAGTGCTTCTCTCTCTCCCTTCTCCAGGTCAAGGGGGAGTTTGGGAAATGTTTGTAGGTGTTCCAAGTGTAATTGGTCCATTCAGCCAGCTATAGATATTCTATGCCTTTGGAGAGATGGTACCTTGGTGGTTACACATCTCCTTATCAAAAATTTCATTATTCTTTTCACCTGGAAGGATCTGTCTGGAAAGGAATATATGAGGGAGAAGGTGGCCTTCAAATGCTGGAGCAAATTGTAAAAGTTCAGTTCTTCAGGCAAAATCACCTGGGCAACTAAATTTGTTCATTTACTTATATGTATATGGTCGCTGTTCTCAATTTTGTGACTCTAGGACAGGGTTCTCCAAAGTGGTCAATACTGACCCCCAAGGGTCAATGGGACTATTGCTGTTATCATTAATGTTATTTGTAGTACTATTAGTTAAACTAATATTTATTAAATTATTTCAATACAAGAGAACATATGTAGCTCAGGGTTGAATTGTGGAGTCCTTGGTGTTCTCTGAGCTTGGTTACTTGCTTGCAGACATTTCATTACCCAACTAGGTAACATCATCATGTCACCTAGTCGGGTAATGAAATGTCTGCAAGCAAACAACCAAGCTCAGAGAGCACCAAGGACTCCACATTAAATTATTTTCATATAATAAATGTTTGGGGGTTGATGAACAATCTGAAGCTTCATGAAGCAGTTAATGAGTTGAAGAGTCTGGGGACCCCTGCTGTAAGAGGAAGACAACAATTAAAAGTATAACATAACAATAATATTACCATAAATACTCATTGATAGCCAGGTAAAAAATTACCATTATAATCACCACATCCATTCTATGGGCTTTGGGACAAATTCTGACCCCCATGCCCAGTGGCATAACCAGGTCTTTAAAGCAGTTCAAGAGGTCATCAGAATTGGGTAACGTTAATCTAAGCTCTGGGGGGATGATATTCCATAGGGCAGGCACCACAACAGAAAAGGCTCTGTTCTTGGGGTTCTCTGAGTTTGGTTCTTTTCTTGCAAACGTTTCCTTACCCGGCTAGGTAACATCTTCAGTGCTAACCCCATCCCATTTTAGCACTGAAGATGT